GTATTTCTTATAAGGAAGATCTGCTAGCAGTAAGTTCTCTCGATCTTTGTTTCTCAGGGGATGTTTTTATTTCACCTTCATTTTTGAAATACAGTTGTGCCGGATGTAGAATTCTCGTTTGACAGATTTTTTTTTCTTTCAGCATTTTGAATTTCTAATTCTACTACCTTCTGGCTTTCCATTGTTTCCGATGAGTACTCTGCTATTAATCTTACTGTGATTCTCTTGTACCTAGAGAGCTGGTTTTCTCTTACTGCATTCGAGATTTTCTCCTTGCCTTTGATTTTCAACATTTGACTATGATGTGTCTAGGTATTGATGTGTTTGTGTTTAGCTTACTTGGAGTTCTTTGAGCTTCTTAGTTGTAGATTAATGTTCTTCATCAAATTTGGGAAGTATTCTGCCATTGTTTCTTCAAAAGAATTTCCTCCTTTTTTCCCCTCACTTCTCTCCTCTCCTTGTAGGACTCTAATTACATGTATGTTAGTACACTTGATGGTGACAAGCCTTTGAGGCTTTGTTCGTTTTTCTTCATTCTCATTATTTCTTTTCCAGACTGGACAATTTATATTGATCTATTTGGAGTTCATTGATTTTTCTATCAGTTCAAATCTTCTCTTGAGGACTTCTTGTGAATTTACATTGTAGTTATTGTACTTTTCAACTCCAAAATTCCATTTGCTTTTTTCCAGTTTCTATCTTTTTATTAATGAGTCATTGTTATATTATCTTATAACTTTTTTAAAGATTTATTTATTTATTTTAAAGATTTTATTTATTTGAGAGAGATAACAAGAGAGAACACGAGCAAGGTGGAGGGGCAGAGAGAGGGGGAGAAGCAGGCTCCCTACTGATCAGGGAGCCAGGCATGGGGATTGATCCCAGGACCCTGGGACCATGACCTGAGCCAAAGGCAGATGCTTAATGACTAAGCCACCGAGGCACTCCTAAGGATTTATTTATTCATTTGCAGGGAAGAGGGAGAGGGACAAAGAGAATCCTGAAGCAGACTCCCTGCTGAATGCAGAGCCTGATGCAGAGCTCTATCCCAGGACCCCAAGATCATGACCTGAACTGGAATCCAGAGTCGGCAATTTAACCGACTGAGCCACCCAGGTGCCCCTATCTTGTAATTTTTTGAACATGGTTTCCATTTGGTTCTTTGAACATATTAATAATAATAGTTTTGGGCACCTGGGTGGCTCAGTCGTTAAGCGGCTGCCTTTGGCTCAGGTCATGATCTCAGGGTCCTGGGATCAAGTCCTGCATCAGGCCCCTTGCTCAGAAGGGAGTCTGCTGCTCCCTCCCCCCTGCTTGTGCTCTCTCTTTCTCTCTCTCTCTCAAATAAATAAACTCTTAAAAAATAATAGCAGTTTTGAAGTCTTTCTTGCTAATTCCAATATCTAGAACTTTTCAGAGACAGTTTTTATTGACTGATTTTTTTTCCTCTGTATGGATCATTATTTTACCCCTTCTTTGTGTCTGTTTTAATTTTTTGTTGAAAACCGACTATTTTAGGCGCACCTGGGTGGCCCAGTCAGTTAAACATCTGCCTTCAGCTCAGGTCATGATCTCCAGGTCCTGGGATCGAGTCCCACGTTGGGCTCACAGCTCAGCGGAGAGTTGGCTTCTCCCTCTCCCTCTGCCTCTCCCCATGCTTGTGTGCTCTCTCTCTCTCTCTCTCTCTCTCTAATGAATAAATAAAATCTTAAAAAAATAAATAAATAAAAAATAAATTTCTTTAAATGGGACGACTGGATGGCTCAGTTGATTAAGTGTCTGCCTTCGGCTCAGGTCATGATCTCAGGGTCCTGGGACTGAGTCCCACATTGGGTTCCCTGCTCAGCGGGAAGCCTGCCTCTCCCTCTTACTCTCCTCTGTGTACTCTCTCTTTCTCTCTCTCTCAAATAAATAAATAAAATCTTAAAAAAAAAGAAAACTCCCGCCGAGCAGGGAGCCCAACGTGGGGCTCGATCCCAGGACCCTGGGATCATGAACTGAGCCAAAGGCAGTCGCTTAACCAACTGAGCCACCCAGGCATCCCTAATTTATTTATTTTTATTCTGGCATTTTTATCAATATAGCCGTTGTAATAGAATTTACCATCTTGGGTAAAACTGACCATCCAGTTAATCCAGGTACTTGGTGGGCCTTTTCAGTATGTAGCGTCAGGTGTTACTTTATCTGTGGACTTTTTCTTGGATTATAGTTTTTAATATTAGTACTATACCATTGTTTGGTGCCATTGTTTCCTTCTATGAGGAATCTAATAATAAATATGTATACTGCATCTTGTTTGCCTGTCTTCTATTTCAACCTTTTTTTTTTCTGTGATTCTTTTTCTTTTTTATTCTCTTAGCTGTTTTCTGGCATTTCTTCAATGGCATTTATTAAATTTTCAGTTGAATCTCTTTTTCCCTGGGAATCTTGTGGCTTAGGCCTCATCTCTGAGACTGGTTTTCTCTTTCTCTTCACTTTTTCCCTGAGTACAGTCATTTAGTTCTTATTTCATTATGTCGTTTTCTTCAACCATTTCTGTCCTTTGTTTTAATGATTTATTTAGTTATTTATTTATTTATTTATTTGAGAGAGAGAGAGCACGAGCGGGGGAGGAGCAGAGGGAGAAGCAGACTCCCCTCTGAACATGGAGCCCCATGCTGGGCTCAATGCCAGAACCCTGAGATCATGACCTGAGCTGAAATCAGGAGTCAAGACAGTTAAACGACTGAGCCACCCAGGTGCCCTTATCCTTTGTTGTTGTTGTTGTTTTAAGATTTTATTTATTTATTTGAGAGAGAGAGAGAGTGAGCACAAGTAGGGGGAGGGGAGGAGAGGGAGAATCAGGCTCCCGAATCAGGCTCCCGGCTCAGCCAGGAGCCAGACGCAGGGCTCAATCCCAGGACGCCGGGATCATGACCTTAGCCGAAGGCAGACGCTTGACCGACTGAGCTACCCAGGTGCCCCCTATCCTTTGTTTTAAAGCAAAGTGTTAGAAATAAAATTGTTACCTAATATTAGACGAATACTCAAATTATGATCCATCTGTAGAATGAAACACAATACCATTGAATAAAAGAATGAAGAAATTCTTGATTGTGTTTCTCTGCCCTGATCTCCAAGATATTAAGTGAAAAAATCAAGTTGCAGAATGGGGAGTATAATATGCTACCATTTGTGTTAAAAAGGAATATATAAAGAAATAAAAATATGTGTGTATGTATACATATATGTATATACAGATGGTCCCTGACTTACGATGGCTCGATTTAGGATTTAAAAAAAAAAAAAAAGATTTATTTATTTATTTGAGAGAGAGAGAGAGAAAGTGCGCATGTGTGCACGAGCGGGGGTGGGGGCCAGGCACCACAGAGGAAGAGAGTGACAAGCAGACTCCCCACTGAGCGGGGGCAGGGGTGGGCAATGTGGGGCTTGATCCCAGGACCCTGAGATCATGATCGGAGCTGAAATCAAGAGTCGGACGCTCAGCCAACTGAGCCATGCAGGCGCCCCCAATTTAGGATTTTTTTACTTTATGATAGTGCAAAGGCAATATGCGTTCCGTGGAAACTGTACTTAGAGTTTTGAATTTGGATCTTTTCCCCGGGCGGGTGATAGGTAGTACGAGCCTCTGTTGTGATGATGGATAGTAGCAGTGAGCTGCAGCCCCAAACTTTATTATAAAATAGGCTTGTGTCTTAGCTGATTTTGCCCAACTGTAGGTGAATGTTAGTGTTCTGAGCACGTTTAAGGCAGGCTAGGCTAAGCTATAATGTTTGGTAGGTTAGATGTAGTAAACACATTCTTTATTTAGAATATTTTCAATTTAGGGTAGCTTTATCAGGACATCACCGATAAAGGAAGTTGAGGAAGATCTGTATATAATGCACAATCTCCCATTACATCTTTCTGAGCTGGGAATTATTCTCTCACTTTAAGATGATGTTGACTCTTGGGGCACCTGGGTGGCTCAGAAACCAATCGGAAACCAAATCCGATTCTTGGTTTCAGCTCAGGTCATGATCTCAGGGTCATAAGAGCGAGCCCTGCATTGGGCTTACATGCTGGACATGGAGCCTAAGATTCTCTCTCTCCCTCTTCCTCTGCCCCCCTCCCCAAAAAAAGATGATATTTACTCTTCAGTATATTTTTCCAAGGCAACTTGACTTTTCATATCTCCAGATCCTTGAGGAACACTTCCCTGGTACCCACTTGCTGAGAGCACTGGACTTTTCTAACATTATTCTGTGGTTGCTCATCTTCCTGCTCTTTGAATATTGGGATTCTGTAGGGTTTTGTAGTTAAACTGCTCTTAACACTTGCAACTTAGATAGACTCATCTACTCTCATGGTTTTGACTGCCATCTCTAAGCTGCTAATTCCCAAAAATCATATCTCATTTGAGTCTAGGCCCATTTATCTTACTGCTCTGCTTTCTGGACATGTCTTCTTTCAGTTCAACAATTATTCTAAATGTTTATGTCACACTGTTTGTCACATCCATCTGAGAAGTTTCTAGTCCTGGATTAACCCAACTTTCTTCTTTCTCCATGCCTGTACCTGAGTGGCTGGCTGTTGCTGCAGCAAATCACGATCACAGGTCTCCCATTCACCCTCAGTGCTGCTCTGTGGTGCTGCCCCTTGTCTGCTTATCACAAGGGATCTTGTACACCTTCTCTCTTCAAACCTCTCTCTCTGTCTCTGTCATCTCTACGCTCAGAAAATTCATATAATACATGCAACAGGCATTTGTTAACTCTTTGCTATATGTCCTCCTAATTCATAGATAGAACTGAGGCCATGATACAGAAATTCCAAATCTGGTCTGATTTCCATCTGTTGGTGGATGTGCTCTGACTGCCCAACGAGACGTAATAGCAAGCCTTGCATATAGAACTGTGTTCTGCTTCTCTTCCTCTCTCCAGAGCCGAGCATAGGGCCCTGAGGTCCACAGGGACTTGGAACCTAGTTTCAACTGATACCGTCTTGCTTGTCTCTTACAGCTGATGGAGAAGGCCAATCGTTAAGACAACGAGACAAGCGGCTTAGCTTAAATTTGGTAAGTTTGGCACTTGAGTTCCTTTAAGCCTCAATTTGACCAAAAATAGCCTAACCAACATATGTTCCCTTGAGGTCTTTTGAGTCTCTGAGGCCCCTTTCAGTCTCCCCTAAGGCTTGCATTCGTCTGGGACCTACTGGACTGAGTGTTCTGTGGGGACCCTGCCAGTCCTAATGGCTCAGACCCTTGTCTGGCTCAGGGCAGGACTTCATATGTAGAGCATCTGCAGACATTCCTAACCCACTGTCTTCTGGCATCACCTTCAGGAGACTCTCACTCACCTCATACAACAGGTACAGAAGCAGAGCTGGAGTTGGAGGCCTATCGGACTTTCCTAAGGAAGTTCGAGGTTATTCTTGGATAATTTGCAACCAAAGCCCCATGTGCGGCCGTTTCCATGACCGTTCTGTTTTCTTGCAGCCGTGCGGGTTCTCCCCCATGTCCCCTACGGCTTCAGGCGGGGCCGAAGACGGCTACGTGCCCATGGGCCCCCAGGCAGCCATCTCTGGTCTTGGAGCCCGCTGCAGCCATGATGACTACATCCCAATGAGCCCAGGAAGCATCCCAAGCCCGCTGCCTGAGCTGCCTGCGGACCTGGAGCCTCCGCCAGTGAACAGAGATCTCAAGCCTCAGAGGAAACGTAAGCCACTTGACCAGGCGCGCCATGCAGGAGAGGGGGTACGGGTCCTAGAGGCCATGTGAAAAAGTTCCCTTCCTGACACTCTCTGGGAAGAAGGCACTAGAGGAACCACCTCCGAGGGCTGGGAAGTGTAAGGAGCAATGGCCGGGACTGCATGGGAAGGGCCGGGAAAGCTTGCCACCCCAGACTGAGAAAAGGAGGCATGGGACTTAAGGCACTGTGGCCCTGCAAATATAGCCTACAAAGCCAAGTTCATTCCAGAGGGCTCATCTTCAGCTGCTTCCCTAATAAAGGTCCAGAGCTAAGTGACGATGATGAAACCCGCCTGGCATCTATTTGTTTAAACAGACTTGAATATAATCACAGTGAGGTAGCCAAGAATGACTTTTGACAGGAATTCCTGAATGCCAGACCTGGTCACATGCAACTTCTCACTCACTGCCCTGCACATGCCCATCAGCAGAGGTGTCTGGGGGCAATGAGCAGTCTGGATCCTATAGGCCCAGAGTTCCTCGAAGCTTCTGCCTTGTTCCCAGGCAGCTTCTCTGGTCTGCAAACAGCATGGATAGAGAGGGAAGAAAAGCAGGTCAAAGTAACTTACTAACTTCATTCTTGCCCATTGCCACCTGCCCAGTAGGTGTGTGTGATTACTAGGAACTCTTTGGTACAATGACTGTGATCTCTGGTTGGTCCCCACCTCTCTTTGCTCTTTGGAAAAACCACTGTTTCAAGCGGCCTTGCCCCAAATTGGTAAAAGGCCCCTACTCATGCCTGGTCGTTCTAGTCTCACCCCTTCAGTTCGAGTCAGATCACATCTGCAGCATGTTTGCTGTGGGTATGCTGCTGTGCTAGGCCCTGGGTGGGAGGTAAAGATGAGGAAGCAGGTTCTTCAGTGGGAGGGGGAGGGAGATAGGTAAGAGCCAGCTGGAAGAAGAAAAATGACCCAGTCAGTACCGAATAAGAGAACGAACCCTGTCTTCGGAGTTTCAGAGGAAACAATCATTCATTCTGGTCAGGAGTGATTTCACAGGGACATGTAACTTTGAGGCCGCTATTTATTTTGCTCAATTAATCTTCTATAGCAGTGTTATCCAACAGAACTTTCTGTGATGATAGAAATGTGGCCATTGAACACTTGAAATGTGGCTAGTACAACCGAAGAACTAAAATTTTTTGACTGTATTCCCCATGCTGTACCTTTCATCCCCAAGACTGAATTTTAAATTTTATTTAATGTTAAGAAATATCTACTTAAATAGCCATGTATGGCCAGTGCAGCTCTATAGGACCTGGCAATCAGAGGCATGAACATGTTGGATGGACTCAGGGCTGGGGATTCACTGGGTCGGTGTGAAGGTGGACACCTGAGCCAGGAGGACAGGTTCTGACAGGGGTGGACCCTGGGGCCCAACAGGGAGAGGGCAGGGGGAATAGCCACAAGTTGGCTGGTCGGTGAGACCGATGCCACGGTGTCATGCCACCAGGAGAGACCTTCTCCCCAGGAACTATGTGACTCACATGTCCTTTCCAGCTCAGTACCTCACCCAGATCAGAGGCTCCTGGGAAACTGATGCTCTGATGATATGGAGGGGACTTAAATAGTCTCTACCATGTAGTCTAGTGGAGGAAACAAAAGGAACCTGGTCAAGGCCCTGGTAGAGGGATACATGCATGACCAACTCAACAAGTTGGACGACTGAGGTGGAGTAAGGGTCAGGTGCCAAGAGCTTCTCTGCATGCCAAGGCTACTGCAACACATGAGGCAAAAAAATCCCTGTCCTCCCAGAGCACAGTCTAGACCCGAATCAGATAATCACAGATGAATATATTACAAACTGCAAGGAGCTCTATGAAGGGTAAATATAAGAACTCATGAGAGCCCATGATGTGGGGCCTGATCTTGTCTGGAGGTCAAAGAAGGCCTTCCTAGGCAGGAGACATTGAGCTGAGATCTGAAGATGACTAACCAGGCAGAGAGATGGGGAAGAATGTTCTACGTAGAAAGACTATCAGGTAGACAATGAACTGGAAGAGGGGAAGACTAGAACCTGGGTGATCATCTTTGCCTGCAGTAAGAAAGGTAAAATTTCCATTTTGGACATGCCAAGTGTAAGGTATGTGTTGGGATTACATATGGTCAGAGACTTTCATCTGTTTTGCTCACACTGTGCCTCCCAACACCTAGAACCATGCCTGATACACAGTGAGTTCTCAAATGCATATTGACTAAATGTGTTGCCCCATTGTTACCTCTAGCTGGTAATGTGACCAGTGAGGTAGGGAAGGGTAGATCAGTGAATTCACATTCATCATCAGTGCTGCTTGTTGGTCAATTTGGACTGGATGTGCTAATAAGTAAGTGGAATGTCATAATTTTAGTCTTTCGATTCTGGTCTTTAACTCCTGAGAACTTACCGTACTGGATATCGTGTATTATCTTGTAGCACGGCCACCTCCCCTGGACCTGAGAAACCTCTCCACCATCCGGGAACATGCGTCTCTAACCAGGACCTGCACTGTACCTTGGTAGGTCTTTGATTGCTCAAAGGGACCTCATCCAGCACAGGCACTCCCGGTTTTAGTTAAGACTCTGATTAAAGGTAGCTGAAGCCCACTTGATCTAGCTTAAGTCAAAGGAGAGATGGGGTTTGTTATCATGAGCCAGAAATATTTTGTAGATCACAAAGGAAGGAATATAACTGGATGTCCCAGGATGCTGGAGTTAGGAACGAGCTGTTGGGAACCCAAAGAACTTTCCACCTCTCACGTCTGCTTCTCTCTTCACATGAACCGTAGATCTTGAGCTTATTTACATGCTATAATTCCAGTACCAGCTGTGATAGGCTCTTTTTTGACCCCAACTCACATTTCCTGGGAGAGGGAGTTGGCCTGCCCCAGCCTGAGTGGAGTCACCTGTGGCCCCGGGGGAGGGCCAGTAGTACCAACATGGCTTCCAGAAGCCCAGCCTTGTGAACGAGTAGGGGGAGGGAGTTCTCAGAGAAAGAGGGATGGTGCGTGGACCTGGCAGACAAACCCCAAATGTGTCTGCACTCTCTCATCTCATCTTTTAGAAGTTGTATTTTCAGAGTTGTGGGCCTGGCCCAAGAGTTTCCTGGTTCTCTCTCTACGCCACAGGATACAATCACTTTGCAAAGCAGACCTCTGCCAGGAGCTCTCTCTCCGGCCATGACCGCAGAGCGATGCAGTCTGTGCTTCTGACTCAGGAGTAGGGTGAAAATTGATTTGCAGTCTTGTTCTCATCCCATCAGAGGAATGGCCACACCTCATTACTTTTGCCAGTTACTTTGAATGGAAACAAGAGAGCCCCAAAGGAGCGTTTTGTTTTTGTTTGTGTTTTGTTTTTGTTTTTGTTTTCTAAATGTTATGATGCCTTGGTCTGTTTCTAGAAAGCTTGTGAGCTCTAACACATGGAGGGCCTGGAAAAAAGTAACCCTTGAGAATTGGGAGCCATTCGCCCCACAATGGGACAGAAGCTGGGCAGTCTCTACTGCTTCAGGAATCGCTTTGGCCAGAAGGAAATTTTATCTGGAAGGGGAGGGCTGAAAAGCCCACGGGGACCATGTCAGTTCCTGGCTGGCTTTCAGAGCAGCTGTAAGACATTGCTTTGACCTCATCTATATTTTTGTTCTCAGCAATCGAACCAGATTTCTCTCTCCAGAAAGAAATGGTATTAATTCTGCAAGATTTTTTGCCAATTCCGTTTCCAGAGAAGAGGAAGAAAGCTACATCCAAATGGTAATCCTGTTTCACACTCTTCATATGCTTCACCCCAATGTGTATTCTTATGAGTTCATTATAAAGGAAACATGAACTTGAGAAAGCCCCCTGCAATCTGAAAACACTCACTTGAATATGATACCAGGTTACTGGGAACAAATCTATTTGAAGCTGGTTTTCTTCCCTGCAATATCCAGCTCCTCCTAGCATTTTGAGGCTGTACTATTGCAAGAGCACCCAGGGTTGAGGCACGTGTAATGGGAGAATGGAAATGTTGGCCATTCTTTTCACCAAGGCTATGATACCCTATTTGATCTAAATGACTTTGTAGCTCCTTGGATGTGCAGAGCAAACTCACATATCCTGTGTTCCTTTCTGCCAAACCACCTGAAGGATGAGTCACTTGAGTCCCAGTGGGAGAGAGTACAGTGTCCTGGGCTGTGAATGTGTCTTAGTCTCTGGAGACTGGGGTTATAGGGTCTTTCTGTAAATCTGAGCAGATAGAGACGTGACATCTCTATCCTTTAATTAAGTAATTAATCTCCCCCTCCTGCCCTGTGTTGTTCCTTCCGTTCTCTTTAGCTTGGATTCTATTGGCAGCATGGGTTTTTGAAGACAGAGGGATTTTTAGCACCTCTGGGAATTATGAAGCACGTTAGCCAGGACCAAGCCTGTTCTGGAACTTAATGTAGGGAACTCCAGAGAGAATCTGTGTTTGACCGATGAAGTTTTGCAAAGAGATCATAAAAGACTGCTATTCAAGGCACTGTGACTATATGTACTTTTGAAAAGACAGTTGTAGCCCTCCTATGCATGAGGTTAGTAGGCAAGTGAAAATCTAAACACGGTCATCTCCAGTGAAGCAGTAATTAAATGCTTCATTTTGCCTTTCCATTTGATAAAAATTGTGCTGTAAGTTCACTTAACCATATGCAGATGGAAAGTGACTCATATACAAATCTGCTGTGGTCTTCCCGATGTTTTTCACACTTTGTAATGGCCCTTGGGAAACTTCTAGAAGAAAACACTCTTATAAAGGATACTGACCAGCTGTGCTCTGTCTCCAGAGAACAGAAAAGGGAAGTGAATCTGTAACCTAATAGAAGCAAGTGCAGAGTCATTCCAGATACTAGCAGTTCATCCCTGATCTTTGAGGTTATGAGAAAGCCCAGTATTTTATTAACAGCACAGTTATGGATTGATTTCTTGCCTAAGTTTATAATCATTAGTTAATGACTGTCTGGGCATTATTAGGCCATATGACACGGTAGGTTAAGAGCCCAGAATACTGGCTGAAGGCAGGTAGCTGTGGGGAAAGCACCATATAGGTGTGTTTAAAGCCTATCTAAAGCCTATCCCATCTCATTCAATTGTAGGTCTCTTCAACTGTAGTAATAATAATAATTTCCAATGACTTTGAGTTACATCATTTCACTTGTTCCACGTAACAAGCCTACATGACTCATAGGGTTTGATTTTGATTTTGTGCATAATCGTATGTGTTAACTTTTTTTCTCTCTGAGAACAGAGTCTGATCTGAATGTAAAAATTTAGGCCAGGGGCTGAAATACAAGTTTTGCTTTATTAAAGTTATGTATCATTTTTTTAGTTTCTTTCAATGTTTGTGAAATTATAGAAAATTTAGAAGAATGAAAATTTTAACTTACGTGATCTCTTTTTTACAGGACTTCCACATTCTATAATTTCAATAGTTTTGTAAGACTTTTATAGTAGAATTCTAAACCCTCAATCTCACATTAAATGTTTTATTATGGCATTATAATACTTTTTAGTTTTTAGATTATCTTACACTGAAACTGACTTTCTCTTGGTGTGCGTTTCTATGAATTTTAACATATACGTGGATTCGCGTAACCACCACCACAATCAGCACACTGAACAACTTCGAGGTACTCCTTCATGCTACGTCTTCATAGTCACAGCCTCCCATGACCCTAATCCCTGGCAACCACTGATGTATTCTTCATCGCTATAGTTGTGTCTTTTCAAGAATGCCACATAAATGGAATCATAGAGTATGCCATCTTTTGAGACTGGTTTCTTTCACTCAGTATAATTTCTTTGAGATTCACCCAAGTCGTAACACATGTCAACAGCTCTGTTTTATTGTCGAGTACTATTGAAGTGTATGGATGTGCCACAGTTTATCTACTCACCCATTGAAGGACATTTGGATTGTTTCAAGTTTTTTGGCATTTATGAATAGAATTGTTACAAACATTGTTTTTTTTGTTTTGTCTTAAGTAAGCTCCATGCCCAGTGTGGGGCTCGAACTCACAACCCCGAGACCAAGAGTCACATGCTCTGCTGACAGAGGCAGCCAGGTGCCCCAGCAACGTTCTTTTACAGATTTTGGTTTTTTTGATACCTTTTACTAAAGTGAAATATACAGAACATAAAATATACCATTTTAACCATTTTTAGATGTACAACTCAGTGGCATTAAGCTATGTTCACAATGTTGTGCAACCATCATCACTATGTGTTTCCAGAACTTTTCCATCATCCCAAACAGAAACTCTGTACCCATTAAACTATAACTCCCTAGGCCCTCTCCAAAAAGCCCCTGGAAACCTCTGTTCTACTTTGTGGCTTTGTGAATATGCCTATTCTAAGTGCCTCGCAGAAATGGAATCATATGACACTTGTCCTTTCGTGCCTTTGGCGTTCATTCATATCGTAGCATGTCTCCAAGTTTCATTCCTTTCTAAAGCTAATACTCCATTGGATAGAGAGGCCACATTTTGTTCACCCAGTCATCTGTTGATGGACATTTGGGTTGTTTCTGCCTTTTGGCTATTGTGAGTAATGCTGCTAGGAACATGGGTGTACAAGTATCTGAGTCTTTGCTTTCAATTCTTTTGGATATATACCTAGAGGTGAAATTGCTGCATCCTATGATACTTTATGTTTAACTTTTTGAGGAACCACCAAACTGTTTTTCACAGCAGCCAAAGCATTTTACATGTCCACCAGCAGGTGCAAAAGCTTCTGATTTCTCTACATTCTCACCAGTACTTGTTATTTTCCATTTGTTTGTTTTTAATTATAGGCATCCTCCTGGGTGTGAAGTGGTATCTCATGGTGGTTTTTGTTTGCATTTCCCTGATGACTAATGATGTTAAGCATCTTTTCGTGTGCTTATTGGCCATTTGTGGATCTTTGGAGAAATGACTAATCAAGTCCTTTACCCATTTTTGAATTAGGTTGTTTGTGTTTGTTGTTGTTGCCTTGTAGAAGTTTTTTCAAAAATATATTATGGATATTAACCCCTAATCAGATCATGATTTGCAAATATTTTCTCCCATTCTGTGGGTTGTCATTTCACTCTCTTGGTAGGGTCTTTGGGTGTACAGAACTTGTAAATTATGATGAAGTTGAATTTCTTTTTTTCTTCTATTGCCTCTGCTTTTGATATCGTATCCAATAAATCATTGCCAAATCCGATGTCATGAAGTTTTCTCTTATGTTTTCTTCTAAGAGTTTTATAGTTTTAGCTCTTATGTTGAGGTCTTTAATTCTTTGAGTTAATTTTTATGTGTAGTCTAAGGTTAGGATCCAACTTCATTCTTTTGCCTGTGGATATCTGGTTTTCCCAGCATAATTTGTTGGAAAAACTGCCCTTTACCCACCAAGTGGTCTCAGCACCTTCATTGAAAGTCAGTTGACCATATATGTGAAAGTTATTTCTGGGCCCGTTGGTTTTTATGTCTGTCCTCACTCCAGTATCACACTGTTTTGATTTATAGTAACTTTACAGTAAGTTTTGAAATCAGAAAGTGTGAGTCCTCCAACTTTGTTCTTTTTCAAGATTGAGTTGGTTATCCAGGGTTCCTTGAGATTCCAAGCGTTTTAGGATGGTTTTTTTTTTTTTTATTTCTGCCAAAAATGCCATTGGGATTTTGGTAGGGAATGCATTGAAGCTGCAGATTGCTTTGGGTAATGTTGTAATCTCAACAATATTATGTCTTCCAGTCCATGAACATAGACGGAAATGTCTTTCCATTTATTTATGTCTGCTTTGCTTTCTTTCAGCAGTGTTTTGTAGTTGTCATTACAAGTCTTTGGTTAAATTTATTCCCAAATACTTCATTCTTTTTATGTTCTTGTAAATGATATCATTTTCTTGATTTCCTTTTCTCAGATGGTTCAGCTAGTGTATAAGTATGCAACTGAATTTTGGGTGTGATTTTTGTATCCTGCAACCTTGCTGAATTTGTTTATTTTTTTGTTATTTTTTTGCATGGAATCTTTAGAGTTTTCTACATATAAGACCATGTTGTCAACAGATTATTTTGCTTATTCTTTTCCAATTTGGCTGCCTTTTTATTTTTTTCTTACCTAATTGCTATATATGGCTAGAACTTCCAATACTTTGTTGAATATCAGTTGCAGAAATGGCCTGCCTTGTCTTGTTCCTGATCTTGAGGGCCTTTAACCGATTTTGTGTGGGCATAAGTTTGCATTATCTAAGTTTTCATTTCTCTAGAGCAGAAATGGGGGATGACTTAGCCCCATAAGGGACATTTGGCAATGTCTAGAGACATTTTTGGTTGCCACAACCTGGCACAGAGGATTGTGGTGCTAGCATTTTAGCAGGAAGAGTTCAGGGATGATGCTACACATCCTATAGTGCATAGGACAACTCCCCACAACAAAGAATTATCGGACTCCAAAAGTCAATAATGCCACTGTTGAAAAATCCTCCTCTGGGGTAAATACCCAGAAGTGAGATTGCTGGGTTATCAACTGTGTTTAACTGGGTCATCAGTTGTATGTTTAACTTTACAAGATACTCCAAAACCTTTTCCATAATGGCTGTATGATTTTGCACACCCATCAACTATTTATGAGAGTTTTAGTTGCTCCACTGGAGCATGCTTGGTCCTGCAGTTTTTTTGGTTTTTTTAATTTAGACATTCTAACATGTAGATAGTTGTATCTCATTGTAGTTTTAGCATATATTTCTCTCATGGCAAATGATGTCAGACTTATTT